CACGCACACACACACACACACACACACACACACACACACACAAAGGAAATGAAGAAGGAGGGAGGGAGGGAGGTACAGAAGAACGGAAGGAGGGAAGGAAGGAGGGAAGGAGGGAAGGAGGGAAGGAGCGAAGGAAGTAAGGATGGAAGGAGGGAGAGGGAAGAAGGAAAAAGAACTCACATTATGGCAAGGTAACCACGTGGTAGAGTTACGATATCGGCAGAAAAAATAGGCAAGTTGTACTCTACACGTGGAAAAACAATATAGTTCAGAACCTGTACACGCAAAGAATGCCACCTCCCCACGGTTCAGTCGATCTCCACACCAACCAGAGCATGCATCTGCATACCTCTCTCACATCCTCACCATCTCTCTTTCTCTCTTTCTCTCTCTCTCACTCTCCTCTCCCCCCACAGCATGAACAATGGGAGATGAACGTGCTGCAAGCTTTTCTTTTTCTTCTTTTCTTAATTATTATTATTTATTTTTTTATTATCAACGTCGTTGCCCGTTCCGTTCCGGTCATCTTGGTTGCATCTGGATTCGAACTTTCGTCTGTATTTCCACAGCTCATGGGTGTACCAACCGAGCTAAGGTATCATTTCATTTTTTGCGCTGTTGTTAATTTACTAATTTTACTAATTTAGTAATTTAGTAATTTAGTAATTTAGTAATTTAGTAACTTGGCAATTTGCTAGTTTAATCATTTACTAATTTAGTAATTTCACATCTCATGGATTCATTTTATTGTTCTGTTTCTTCTGTTCGGTCACTTTGCTTACATAGCCGCAGTCGACCAGTGATAATGCGAGGATAGGAATATAATTTGGCGCGAACCACGAGGAAGGCGTCCGATGAATTGGCATGAATTACCAATTGGCAGAAAAACTTGCACTGGAGGTGTTTTCTGGATGATGCCCAAATGAGTCTGTGTCGTGCTTTGGCTGCGTAGTGTTTATCTCAAACCGCATGTTGTGCTTGTGTGTGCATTGGCTGAGGGGACGAGGGTTGGTCATCGTTGGGGAGGGGTCCTCCGCATGTATATTGATGATGACAATACTCCACAGTCCAGGGAGGGGTCCTCTTAAAGAGTCCAAAAACAGAGGTAAACATCAAGCTACAAACAACATATAGCAATATAGTAATATACTCTTTTTTTTTCTTTTTTTTCGTTTTTTTCCCTTTTTTTCTAATACATACAACATATACTCTAAAGAGTCCTAAGTTCCGCCTAACTGGTCTAGCTCAGTTGATAGACCCCTACAGACCTGAGTTGAACTCCACTGGAAGCAGAAGATTCGACTTCATTGAAGTACTGCAATTTCTGAATTGCCTCGGGCTGCTCAGTTCAGTGGATGAGATCTCAAGGCCGTCACTCCTTTGAAAAGGACAAAGAACTTGAAATTTAAAAAAAAAAAAAAAATACATGCTACGTATGCTAGATGACGTGCTTAACACCCTCCTCCCCCGCCTCCCCCCCCAACCTGCCAAAAAACAAGAACAGAAGGGGACGCAAAAAAGAAATATGATCTGTTTAGCAGCTTGTCTTGCAAAAAATGACGGGTTTGTGAACGTTGTGCAAACGTATACTTTGCCTGGAATCTCCGACATAAATGATAAACCTGTTCATCACACATTTCCTATTTTCCAGATTTTGATTATCTGTGTATATCTAGAGTGCACAGTGCACACCAATTTTCAGTTTTTCGAGTCTTTTTCGACATAATTTTGAATATCTAATGACACTAATATCCTTATTTAAAAAAAAAAAAAAAAAAAAAAAGTGCACAAAGGGCCACAAAGTTGCCACAAACACACATCAAACATTTTACATCTGCATCAGCACAAACTGCCACAAAGTACAAAGTACAAAGTACAAAGCAAATACTACAAAACACAAAGCACAAAGCACAAACTACAAAACACAAATCACAAACCACAAAGCACAAAGCACAAAGTACAAATCACAAAGTACAAAGCACAAAGTACAAAGCGCAAAGCACAAAGCGCAAAGCACAAAGTACGCAGTGCCAGCGCTAAGTATAAAGAACAAAGTAAAAAGAAACAGTGTTCAAAGCACAAAGTCCTTCAGTCCCAAAGTACATTCTATGTATCCAGCCATCCACTGCATTCTCTGGCAACTACGTCTGGACCAGCGTGGAAGGGTCCAGATGCGGAATTACTGTTTGGTGTGCAAGGGGTCACGCGGGAACAGAGAGGCACACAGGACGAGAATAACTCTAGCGCAGTCCAGCCCTGATGTGAAGATCAACTCCCAAAGGCCCAAATCGCCACCAAGCAAACGGGCACACTCCGAACCAGCACCACCACAAACATGCACACCAAGAGGAAAATCTGCAAACAACTAAGGTACCCCGCCAGCCAAACTAAGCTACCCTGCGCGGCAGGCTGCATTTTTTTTTTTTTTTTTTTCTTTCAAGGAGCATTCTATTTCAGTGTGGGGCGCGGGACTGTGGGCCAATAGTTTTAAAAAAAGACGATGTCCCAATTATGGGAAATAGCAGGCAGAACAGGACGGCGAAAGTGCTGTCGCCAGACACAAAACAAGAGGGACTAAAACTGATAAGCGCGACTGACCAAAAAGTGGGACTCAAGAGGGATTAAGAAGTGGGACTGACCATTCTCGACATTTTGGCTAAGGAAGATCAAGTGCACTGTATCTGTTCTGATCAGTTTAATATGTGATTAATGGTCCATCGGGCCACACGATACTAAATTAATTTTGCAGGGCTGCGGCGGGGTCACAGGGGTAGGCTTGCCTACTTGACCCCTCTGGCTTCGCGCTGCTGCAAAGTGTGGAGTGGCCCATTCGCCATTGGAATTACAAAAAAAAGAACAGGAAAGCGGGACTGACAAGCGGGACCAAGAATGACTTAGAAGTGCGACTGAAAAGTGGGACTGAAAAGTGGGTCCGAAAACTGGGACCAAGACCAAAAAGTGGGACTAAACAAGTGGGAGCTGACTTAGAAGCAGGGCTGAGAGCGGGACTGAGAAGTAGGACTGAGAAGTGAGACCGAGACCGAGAACTGGGCCTGACAAATGGTACAGAGCGGGACTAAGAATTGGGAGCCAGACCAAGACATGGGACTGAGAAATGGGCCTAAGACCTGTGACTGAGAAATGCGACTGAGAAAAGGGACCGAAAAGTGGGTCAGAAAACTGGGACTAAAAGTGCGACTGCAAAATGGGACTGAAAAAGTGGAACTGAGACACACGGCCAGACGACTAAGAAGTGGTTCCAACATTGACAAGTGGGACAAGAGAAGCGGTCCCAAGAATGAGAAGTGGGACAACATGTCGGACTGAGACAATTATGGATGAGAAGGTCAGAGCCGAACTGTTGAGACTAGAAATGGAGCTGTCCCTCCACACTAGAAATGGCAGCGAGTGTCCTAGCCGCAGTGTGGATCTGTCGTTGTCTCTATCTTCTTTTTTTTACGGCTCGTAGGCTCCCCTTTCATTCCTGACTTGCTGCTGGATTAAAAATCCGAGCTACGCTCCCCAGAATGGAAGGAGCATAGCCACATGGCTAAGAAAAAAAGAACATAAATACAAGAGAGAGAGAGAGAGAGAGAGAGAGAGAGAGAGAGAGAGAGAGAGAGA